TCGGAAGCCCCAGTGTCGGGCTGAGCAATGGTTACTCTCGCGGTCATCTCGACAACCGCGACGAATACCCGCTCCTCACCCTCCCCCAGCGCCGCCAGAGCCGCCAGAGCCCTGCGCCGTCGTCCCTCGTCGTCCAACGTTCCACGGGCGAAGAGAGCATCGCCGGTCGCACGAGCATTGGCCTGCCCAGGAGCCTGCCCACCGCCTCCCAGCCGCCCACCCCGGGTCCTGCTTCTGCCATGTTTCCTGCATCTGCCCGTCATGGGGAGCCTCCTGGTGCGCCCCTGCATGCGGCCACTGACAAGGACGTCGACGTCGACCCTGCCCAGGACGACAAGGACCTTGAGCTGGGCACCGCCCTACCCTCCAAACCCAACCATTCGCGCGTCTCCCTCCCCGACTCGGGCAGATCGTCCATGGCCTCGCGTTCAGGCTCGGGTCGGCGCGACGACAACAACAACAACAACAACAACAACCACGACGACGACGACGACGACGACGACGATGCCGCCTCCGAGTTCCCTTGGGGTCCCTCGCACCCATGCTTTCCACATCCCAACCCCCATGTCCCGTTGACGTCGGACCTGTACAACACCACACGCATCATCCGCATTAAGAGAGACTGGATGATCAAGGGCGACCTGGCCCCGAACTTTGCCAACCTGTACCCGGAGATTCTCGATCCCCTCATCTCGGAAGACGACTTTCGCCTGCTGATCAAGAAGATCAACGACACCTTGATCGATGCCTTTGACCCCTTTACCTTTCGCGCATGGCTCGATGCCGTCATGGGCGTGGCCACCTTTTGGCTGTGGGACGATGCCGGTCTGACGGGCGTCAAGAAGAAACTAGCCGACCTCGAATCCTGGATAGAGAGCTGGAACCAACACGTCGGGGCCAAGGAATCTGTCCAGATTATTTCCCTCCGCCGCACAGGCTACCTGACCGTACGTCTATGCACTCCTCCCCACCTCCTCTCTAATGACACACTCATCAGCAGCTTTGCTAACATGACCCCTCTTTCCCTCCAGCTCGACTTCCAAATCCCAGACCCCCATCTCGGCCCAGACACGGGTTCCCGGCCCAACACGCAGGAAGAAAGCCAGTACAACCACTCGCCCAACCGCCAAAATCATTTCTCGCCCCACTCCCACTCTCTCACGCCCACGCTCCAGGTCAATTCGCAGCCCCAGCCCGTCGACGCACGCTGATGACGGTCATCTCCCTACCTCGCATCTCGCACCTCACACCTCGCACCTCGCTCAACCTGGACCCGTACGGCCGCACTCGAGCTACAACAGTCCGTGTGCAGTTTAGAATCTTCTTCGTTTTCCCCTTGTTCTTACTAGACTTTTCCTTTTTCTTCTAATGTCTTTTCTTACACGACCTTGGAGTTTGGCATAGCATAGCCCGGCTGCGTGTTGGGCTTGGGCCCTGTTGTGGAGATTGTGCATGGTGTGTGCGGATGGAACGCAGGAAAGGAGAGGGGAGAGGACAGTAGAGGAAAGAAGACGGGGTGGGGGAGTCATGTATTGCATTGCGTCTTTTTATGTTTCCTCGCCTCTCTGTTATCCCGTCTTTTTCTTCTTCTTTCTCACCTCCCTAACTCATCCTCTCCCTCTTGCTTTCTCCCTCTCTCCGTCTCTCTTACAGTCCCACACTTTGATATGTATATACGCGGACAAGCAGAGGGGTTTTTTTCTTTCACGACGACGGAAATTACTAACTACACTACACTTACACTAGCCATGATGAATGCCGATGCCGAATATCGAATGCCGAATCCTGCAGTCAGGCCAGGGGGAGCAAAAAGTCTGTCTTGTTCGCTGGCTGGTCTTTGTTTGTTTGGGTTGTTTTTATTTAGCGGGTGTGAAAGGTGTGGGTTTTGTAATTTTTTTTTTGGTTTTTTGGCTTGTTTTTTTGCGCCGTTGGGGCTGCTTTTTTTTTGTGTTTTCGATACCCATATGGAGTTTGTGCGGTGTTTTGTTGGTGTTGTGGGGGTTTGTGGGGGTGGGGGTGGGAGGGGAGGGGGATGTGATGGAGATGGAGGAGGGGAAGGAGGAGAAGTAATATTTGTTGCAGTGAATATATCATTCTACACTTGATTCTGCACATGAGATGTTTCTTGTATAGCTTGATGCATGATGTAGATTAGGTTGTCGGATACTTTCATCTGCGGTTTAGAATGTATGCTTTGGTGGGGTTCATCATTTCAGAGGACATGTATATATATCTACTTTGACAACACCTTGCCAGAAACACAAGGCTCATTTGGCCACTATACTAACCACATCCTCATCACAAACCACATGCCCCAACCCCACCCTCTGCGGCACATGTCTCGCACTCGCCCCCCACACCAACGCATGCTTGAACGACTCCTTGAGCGACCGATGCACCTGATCACAAACATCCTCAATCGTGCTCCCATGCCTCACAATCAGCGCCTCTGAAAAATCCGGATCCTTCCCCTTCCTCTTCGTATAAATCCGAATCAGACGCAACTCCTGCCAGCAGCGATCAACGACGTCGTTGATGCCCAAGTCGAGTTCGCAGCTCATGACGACGGTGTGGGGTTCGCGCGCGAGGGCGTCGAGGTGGGGGAGGCCGATGGAGTCGATTTTGTTGTAGACGTAGAGGCATTTGATGTATTTTCGGTGGTCTTTCATGATTGTGTCGATGAAGTCGTCGACAGTGGCCGAGTCGTCGCGGATGAGGACTTCGCAGTTGAGCATCTTGTAGTCTTTGAGGATGTTGTAGACCATTTTTTCGTCGAGGTATTTGGGGGGGGTTTGGAAGTTGATTTTCATTCCGCCTGCTTTTTTGGGCTTGAGGTAGATGTTGCTGGGTTTTCATCATGTTAGGCTGGCTTGCTTGTTTTCATGTGTAGCAGACGAGTGTCTTGAGGGCATGTTTGACGTACGGTGGTTCGCGGTTCAGTCTGATGCCTACGGCTTCCAGTTCGGCCTCGAGTAACCGTCTTTGCTCAGCCTTCTTCGTCGCATCAAGAATCATGCAAATCAAATCGCTCGTCTTCGCCGCACTGATAACCTGTCTCCCCCGTCCCTTGCCCTCGGCCGCCCCCTCGATAATACCCGGGAGATCGAGCACCTGAATCTCCGCACCACCATACTCGAGCACGCCGGGAATGGCCGTCAACGTGGTGAAGGAGTACGCCGCCGCCTCAGACTTGGTCTTTGTGATTCTCGAGAGAAACGTAGACTTTCCGACAGAGGGGAAGCCGACAAGGGCTATACGCGCATCACCTGACTTGGACACGTCGAAACCACTTCCGCCACCACCACCCGCGCCTGGACCGGGCTCGAGAAGTTGGGCACGCAGGCGCGCGAGTTTTCTACCCTGTTCAGTGTCTGGATGCTGTATCATGGAATGTGGTACTACCTACCCTTTGAGAAGACCGAGATGGTATTCTTGAACCTCAGGTCAGTACGGCCAATCGTGTGGGTTTTGCATGCTCAATGGTTCCTCGTAGTATCGTACCTGTAGCCTTGTTCTCTACAAAAGAAATTAGCCACCCATTCATTCAACATCCATCTTGAACAAAAAATTCACTCACTCTGCGTCCTCCTCATCTCATCCTCAATCCTGGCGGGGCCGTTAGCGCTTGGCAGATTGAAACTTTACAAAATCTTGTCCCACTCTTTGATCTTCTCTGTAATGTTCACCATCTTGGCGGCTTATTTTTCCCACGCTCTTTGTATTGCAAAGGAGAAATTACAGGCCGAGTAAAGAGGGTGCATGTGTTTGCGGGCGTTGCGCGGATGCCGCATCACGATGGAAGAGGTTTGGTGTTGGAGTCTTGCGCGAGTACCCCTTGTAGCTTAGCGCAGGCCTTGCCGAAGCCATCATCTCGTGCGTCATGCTGGTCACCATCAAACGCCACTTCATTACTCTGCTTGTTTGTTTTTTGGGCGGTGGTTGTGTTTGTCTCTTCCCTATGTCTGGCATCGCTTGATCTTGCGCAATCTTCCTTTTTCAGACCTTTCCAGGACCTAACTGGACATGTCATTCGCGCCGTCTGACCCCTGGCCTCGCTCTCATCATGATCTTCTGGAGCAATACTACGCTGAATATGAAAGGCAAATCGCGTCTGGAGAATACAGGCCTTTTTTGTATCCCTGGGGAATGCTTGGTGCTTTGGTAGCTATTGTCTATCTTTTAATACCGCACCAAGACCGTCCATGGCTCCGCCACTGTAGATACCTGGTCTTTGCTTGGGTCACTGGATTCGCAATATATACAGTACTCTATACTAAAGCTAGACTGATTGCACCAAGCTTCGGTGTTGGCTTGCTCAGCGCGTGGAGTGTAGTCTGGGTTGGGGCAATCTTGATTTGTAACGATGCTCAGGCCGACTTCATGAGGATCGAGAAAATGAGAGGTGTATTCGGTGCCCCCACCGACAAACCGAAAGAGAAGGATACCATCAACCATACAGAGTCTCCCCATGAAGGGATTTCAAAGCACGAGAACGGAGATGTCAAGCTTTCCCTTTCAAAAGCCACAGCAGGACCCTCGGACCGCGACGGCCAATTCGCATGGCAACCCTACCCCCTCACCCCCTTCATAGAACGCCTAGACTGGGTCCTCGACCTATTCTGCAACTTCCGCGGCGCAGGCTGGAACTGGCGCACCTCTGCGCTCCCCCCACCCCCAAAATGGATCCAAGAACAACTCCGCCAAAACTGCGGTCCCAACACACCAAAACACTCCTTCAAGACGCACGCCGGCCAGGCGAAATCCTACACCACACGCTCCCAACTCATCCAAGCCAACCTCAAAGCTCTGCTCAAAGGCTACCTCGCCCTCGATGCACTCAAAACACTCATGATGTGGGATCCTTACTTCTGGGGTCTGGTAGATCACACCCCATCTCCATCCTCACACCTCCCTTTAACCCTCTACTTCCTCCTCCACCACCACCACCCCCGCATAACACACATCTACCACCTCCTCCTCTCCATGCTCGCCGTCAAAACCGCCCTCGAAACAATCTTCACCCTCGGTCCCCTGGCCTCCTGTATCCTACCCACCCCCTACCGCCACACCGCCCGCACCCTCCCTTTCCTCTACCCCACACCCTGGGGCCCCTTCTCCACCGTGCTCGACCACGGCCTCGCAGGCTGGTGGAGCAACTGGTGGCACCAAACCTTTCGCTTTGCCCTCGACCAGCCCAGTCGCGTCCTGCGCGAGCACTGGGATTTGCACAAACACTCCCTGCGCTCGAGACTCCTTCAGCTGGTCACGGCGTTTACGGTAAGCGGCATCTTGCACGCTACCGCTAGTTCCACGATTTCAGGACCCTCGCGGCCTTGGTCTGCCTCTTTTGCGTTTTTTGCCGTACAGGCCCCGGCTATCTTGCTAGAAGGTTGTGTGAGGCGTGCGCTTGAGAGCTGTGGGGTTGGTAGGAGAGTGCCGCGGTGGGGCAAGCGTGTGCTCACGTTGATCTACGTGCATGTGTGGTTCTACTCTACGGCGCATTTGCTGTGTGATGATTTTGCGCGGGGCGGGATTTGGCTGTTTGAGCCGGTCCCCGTGTCGGTGTTTCGGGGCTTGGGGTTTGGGGCGGATGAGAGGGATGGGTGGTGGTGTTGGGGTGGGCCGTTGGTGAGGTGGCATCGTGGGGAGCGGTGGTGGGATACTGGGATTGCGTTTTGAGTTTCTCGAGGGGAGTTGTGGACTCACTGATTATCTCATGTTTGCGTTGCATAGCGAGGGCTTCGAGGTTGATACTTGTTTTGGATTCCGAAATATGGATATATAAACACGTGTGTATTCACGTGCGGTAGAACTGGGTGTAGATTAATTATTGATAAATTGCTCTTCCATTACATTACATCAGTCGTCCGGACAAATCGCCAATGTCTGTCGCATCTCATGCTATTGTACTCCCTAAGCGCCAGTCTTAAAAGTGAGACAGCCAACTCCGACTGAACTCTGTTACCAATCCATTGTGTGGCGGCAAGTGCCCGTCCTCCTACCTCCACTTCCCAACACGCCAAAATAAAAATACCATGTACACGCCAGAATGCGGTGCTGGCCTCCAGCGAGCTCCATCGACCCGCGAATGCCTCTCGTCCGACCGTGACCAAGTCTCGTAACGGCATCAAGCCGTTTTCCCAAGGGGATGGATGGAATCATTGGACCTTCTTGCTCTCCGGTTCGCCCTGGTACGAGCGGTCGTTTTCGCCTTCGACTTGCTCGACCATCATGTCGACGGCCTTTGCCTGCTTGTTCCACTCGTCCTGGCACATTTTGAGTTCTCGTTTGAAGAGCTCATCGTTGGGCTTCCTGTAACTGCCTCCGAGACGGTCCCAGAGGGTGGTGAATTGTCCGTAATTGTAGTTGAAGTACAGGTGGTGCATGGTGTGGCAAGCGGCGCCGTTGATGATCGGGGAGTTGTGGGCGTACTCGCCGTCGTGGATCAAGACGGTCCAGATGTTGACGAAGACGAAGAAGGCGACGCTAGCAATCTTGGAGAGTGGGAATAGGAAGGGGAAGATATGGTAGGGCAGACCCTGGGCGTAGCCGTCGATAGGGTGGAAGGCGTGCGAGGCAAAGGGCGTAGGCATGATCCACTTGTGGTGTGGCTTGTGGATGTGTTTGTAGACCATGGGGTGATGTAGGCCCCGGTGGATCCAGTAAATGCAGAGGTCGGTGAAGGCGATGAAGAAGGGAATCTGAAGATAGTCGTACCAGCGCCCGGGGCCTTCTTCGGTTGTGTCGTAGAGCTTCGAGTAGCCGCGCACCTCGGCGAGGAACCAGGGGACGGTGAAGATGGCCATGATGGGGAAGGCAATGTTGGCCTGCTTCATCTCCAGCTTGATCTGATGCTTGAGGTATCTTGGGTGGTTGAAGGTGGCCTTGTCAAAGACGAGCAGGTATGACAGGCCGGCGAAGAGATAGTAGACGCAGACACCGAAGAGCCATGTGATGAGGTAGAGTGTCAAGGCCTGTCTCCGCCAGTCGTCGCGTGGCCATGAGCTCATGTAGGCATATTTGGATGGTTCAATGGAGAAGTACTTGGTGGCGGGCTCGTACTGCCACGAAGCGTGCGGAAGCGCGTAGGCGGTGGGCTCCTGCCGTATACTCGAGAGTGTTGCGTTGGCTGTGGCATTGGCTGTGAAGGAGGATGCTTGCGCAGGAAGCAATGTGGCGTAGAGGGGGTCGAAGAGGAAAGTGTCGCACACTTCCAGGACAATATCCATGTTGGCCGGTGGTTGCGGCGAGAAAGCCCTCGTCGTCGATTGGGGAAGGGCTGTCTAGGTACGGGAACACAGGCTGTGATGCACAGTAGGGCCGCGGGCAGTCCCTAGACAAGACAAAAAAAAGCCAATCAATAAGACGGGGGGTGATGCACGTGATGTGTGCGACAGGTACCCGAAGTAAACACTAGAAGAAAAGGCGGGCCAAATTATGCAGTGCAGACCGTGCCGACTGGGGAGGTAATAGGAAGAAAGGGGGGTGGGGAGTGAGAGAGAAGAAAGAGTGAGTGAGAGAGAGAGTGAGAGGGAGAGTGAGAGGGAGTGAGAATGGGTGAGTGAGTAAGTGGAGTTGAAATAAAAAGGCGGGCGCAAGGACTCGGGAGGCGACAACCCAGCCTTACCTCCTTCCTCCTTCCTCCTCCTCCTCCTCCTCCTCCTCCTACTTGCTCCTCTCCCCTAAATGGAGGAAGTCGTACTTCACTTTGTCTTAGCCCCGTTTTCTCGGTAATGAACTTTTCAGCGAAACCCGCCCGCCGCCTCTCTTTCGCTCCTTGTCCCTGAAGATCCAGCCAAACACGGGCTAGCGGGGCAACCCTTTTGTTCGACACAAAGGTTCTGATTCGCACCAGTCACGTGAGAGTGGTCTCTACAAGTCACGTCCCTCTTTGCCTTGCACCGGAAGTTCCAGCTCCGATGCTGCCGAGTGTGGACTGACTCTCTCTTCCACCTAGAGTAGCACCACCAGACTCTACTCTACTCTACTCTACTCTACTCTACTCTACTCTAGTACTACTCTACTCTAGTACTACTCTACCCTAGTTACCGCTACTTCGCACAACGCCTCCCCCTTTATCAGATCAAAAGTCACATCATGCTCGGCACACTCTCGGGCTACCGGCACGTCCCACCGTTTTGCCATCATGCCATGCTTCCACGCCTTGATTGATACCAAGCAACTCTCCCTACATAGTGTGCATACATGCATGCAGCAGCCCGTATTTTCCTGTCGGCTTCCAACTAGTGCCCTCATGGCAGCCTATGAGCGATCTCTGTGTACGATGGAGGGGTTTTTTTTGGCCGCTTGGCTACACATCAACGAACCACTCCACTCATCAGTTCCTCCATGGATTCGACACAACAATGTAGGGTAGGCCATGTTCACAACGACTCCAGCTGCACACGGGACAAAATCATGACGTGATCCAAAGGTACTCATGCGCTCTGGTAGTTTGAGTATCATGTGATTTGCCACTGCTACATCCTGGCTATTTTCATGGCACAAGACAAGTAACGTGATCCTCAAACTAGCCGAGATAACTAGTAGTAGTGATTTCATTTGACATTGATCTATTCACCCTCTGCAACAGCGACAGCGACAGCAACAAACCCCACCCTCATCTTCTCCCATTCAGCGGCCTACTCTCCCGCCCCCCGTCCTCCTCTTCCTCAATATCTTCCAGTTCAAATTCCTGCACCCCTCGCAACCTCTCCTCGTCGTCCTTGACCTTCCCATAGACATCGTCTGCAGGATTCGGATACGGCGTCGCACATGCCTTGCTGCGAAGTGCGGGATAATATCGCCGATACGTGTAATGCGCAACCGCCATGCCCAGAATCGATCCCACCGATACATCATACACGTCGTGTCGGTAGTCCTCACAGCGCGAGATGGCAATCAGCGCAGCCCCAAGCAATGGGGCTAACGCCACCAGCACCCGCCCAAGATCGGCTCGGGGACGGTAGACGTGACATTGTCCTGCAATGAACAAGGCCAGGTATCCAAGTCCACTAAAAGAGAAGCTACTGTGTCCGCTAGGAAAGCTGCGCCATCCGTCGTGTAGTACATGGTCGTCCGTCTCTGTGCAAACTTCATATGTGACCAGGACGTGTGCTGGCGTTCCGGGTGCTGGCTTGCATCGTGCGATGAGATCTGGTCGTGGTCTCCCCACTGCATTCTTGATGACGTCCGTGATGAAGAGCGTGAGTAGCATGCTGATGAACCAGCCGAGAATCGTAACGTGCGCCTTGTGCGCTCCGGGACGGACAATGAGCGACCATGCTACCAGGATGCCCAGGGGGACTGCGCCAGCGTAGATGAACAGCCATGCTATTGTACGTTAGTGAATCACACCAAGAGCCCAACCACATGTACGTACAGACTGGAACACGTTCAATCTCAGCATGCGGATATCCAATTGCAAGATTGTCGAGGAAGAACATGCGGTGAAACGGTTCGGCGAGGAATTGAATCTGCATCGTCATCGTTCAGAATGTATCTGCCCTTGTGGCCTCAATCATGCCTAACGCACCAATATGTATCCCGTAATCCAGACCGCCAGTCCCACATAATCCGAGGCATAAGAGCGCTGTCAAATGATCGTTAGCATGCTAGACTCGCTCCACGGGGAAGAATACACTGTGCTATGCAAAGGAGAGGGGGGGGGGGCTGCGCGCCTACCTTCCAGAAGCGCGCTGCCGCGCCTGCAAAACCGGTCGAGTTGAAAAGTTCATTTTTGCTGTGCCTGTAGGTTGGGGCAGGCATCATCGGTCGTAGGAAATGAACATGTCTGGCCGGCGTGTGGGTGGAAGCTGGAATCTGGAAATCGGGAATCTGGGAATCTGTCCAACTGTCCAACTGTCTCGGAGGTGTGGATCCACTCCGCAACTGGACACTGCCGTTGCCAGGGGTTGTTGGCGCCAAGTCAGCCTTGTCGTCCCGTGACTCCCATTGTCAGCACTCTTCCACCAAAAAGTGCTTCCTCCCCTTTCTTCCTATAAAGTTTGGAGTTGCCTATTGGGATGCAACATGATCCTTCCCGGAGACTTGGATGCAAGTCTTGTATCAATCTTGCTACTGTTTCGACAACGAGATACAACATCCTATTATCCACTCCCTCCAGCCATTATGCCGCCG